TCTCTTACAAGGTTATGGTCTTTGTGGTTCCGTGTTCTATGTTCTAGTCTTGGTCAACACTCAACTGAACATGAGCTAGCAGTGTACCCAAGTGGCTAGGAAGACCAATGGCATCCTGGCTTGTATCAGAAATAGTGTTTGTAGCAGGAGCAGGGAGGTGATCATCCCTCTGAACCCAGCACTGGCAAGACCGCACCTCAAGTACTGTGTTCAGTTTTGGACCTTCACTCAAGAAAGGCATGGAGGTCCTGGAACATGTCTAGAGAAGGGCAACTGAACTGTGAAGTATCTGGAGCACAAGACTTACAGGAAGAGGATAGAGAACTGAGATTGTTTGGTCTGGAGAAGTGGAGATTCAGGGGAGACCTTATCACCCTCTACAACTGCTTAAAAGGAGGCTGTGATGAGATGAGGGTCAGCTTCTTCTCCCATATAACTTGCGATAGGACTAGAGGAAATGGCCTCAAGTTGAACCAGGGGAGGTTCAGGTTGCACATTAGGAAAAATTTCTTCTCCAAAAGAGTGGTAATGTGCTGAAACAGGCTGCCCAGGGAGGTGGTGGAGTCACCATCCCTGGAGTTGCTGTAGAAACGTTGTACTAAGGGGCATGGTCTAGTGGGGAAATATTAGTGGTAGGTGGACAGTTGGACTGGATGATTTTAGAGGTCTTTTCCAACCTTGGTGATTCTATGGTTCTATGGACTTGCACAATTTCTTGTTGCTGCCTGCAGTATAAAACTGTTAGCATCCTGCTGCCTTTTGATGAAGTTACTACTTTGTCAGTTTGCCTTTTAGCTATATGCCTTTCCAAACCTTGCAGATTGATTGGCTCTCCTACTATGCTGTAACTCAGATCAAGGTACCAAGGATAGCCTTCTTCAACAGAAGAGTTCACTAAAATCCCTGAAATCCTGTTAAGTCTTATCAACAGAGTTGGCCAGGAATCTCCAGGGGAAACATCAGTGATTATGTTCAGTCCAAAGCTCTGATCATTCAACTTCACAAAAATAAATGCAGTGGAGGGTGTAAAGTTAAAGGCTTTCAGCTTGCTGCTTTTCAGAGCTGGAATAGTAAGTATGTTTCTGTGGGGATTGTTAGTTGTTTAATGTGGGATACATCAAGATGTGTTATGTTGTTGAGATTCTTTAAAGTTGTATGTCTTCCCTGTATCTGTTTCCCCATGAAACTTTGAAGTGGTTTCCTTTGAATGCTGATTCCTCTGGAGAATTGCTGCTTTGCCTCTATCAGTAGAGAATGTACCACCAGCTAAAAACCTTCAGGCAATGGAGGCTTTCAGTAATTGCCAGCTGAGATGTTACTTATGCCTATTGTTGTTCAAGTCTAATGCTTCTAGATTTCTGATCTCTTGTAATGCAAAACCACACGTAAAATCCAATATATTGTTTGATAGACAGATTTAAATATTTGAAGCCATGTTGATTGAATTCAATTTCATTCAATGCCTGACTAACACAATTTGCAGACAAATTCAGTTGGGCCATTTCTCCTAAGCTTATTAACTGATCTGTGCTTAAACTGATCCAAGTTAATGAATGTGAGGCTTTTTAAGCTGAGACTCAGTGCTTTGCAAGGTCAGATGTGCTGTGGTCTGAGAGCAGATAGATAGCATAAAATGTCCCTGGTTTTGTCCTAGAAAGTGCATAAAATGTCTCAGTTACTTATCATTTCACATAGTAAAATAGACACTTTTTCCAACAATTTTTAACAGACTAGACCTATTTTGTGCTAAAGGTGACACCTTGTAAATTACCTTTTGTGAGATTATTAACACTTTGAAAGATGATGAAGTTGAGTTGTTTGATAAAGTTGATGCCAAGATCAAGAAAACTGACATTTTCAGGGATGGTAGATAGGTCTTCAAAAACATAACACGGAAGATTTAAGAAAATAGAAGTACTGAGTTCTGTCCTCATAGGAACGAGGACAGGCTGAGAGAGCTGTGGCTTTTCAGAATGCAGAAGAGAAGGCTCCAGGGAGACCTGATAGTGGCCTTTCAGTATCTAAGGAGAGGCTGTAAGAAAGAAGGGGACAGATTCTTTAGCACAATCTGTTGTGATAGGACGATTTAAACTAAAAGAGGGGGAGATTTGGATTAGATATAAGGAAGAATTTTTTTTACAATAAGTGTGGTGAGGCACTGGAATAGATTGCCCAGAGATGTAGTGAAAGCCATCCCAAAAGACAATCAAAGTCAGGCTGGACTTCATTTAGCTGTAGGTCCTTGTTCATTGTAGGGGAGTTGGACAAGATGGCCTTTTAAGGGTCCCTTCCAACTCTAAAGATTCTATGATTCTATGATATTTGATCAAAATCCATTGTGATTGCTTTTGCTAATTGATTTAGGATCACTTCCCCTTATTTCTGTCCAGCCTCAGTGTTTGCAGTTGGTAACAGAAGTGATTGAGTAGTTGCATTTTTCCCTCTTCTTCGTATGAATATTTCAGCCTACAGCACTTGTAAGTGGAAGACTACAGGATATTCTGAATTATTTCTGAATATCTTCTTTGCTTCTGCTTTGCACTGAGTAACAGATGTCAGTAATTAGTAGAACAGCAACTGCAGTTTCGGGGTTGTACTCTCCTATACAGACTTTTTTTTAAAGAAAAAAAATAAGATTTTCACTCATTTCAATTTTTATCTTCAACATCTTTTATCCTATTGAGGAAGGAAGATATTCTGAATACTAAAACATGTTCAGCTGGTAAAGTGGTCAGGCTCACTCCTTTAACTTTTCAGTTCAGAAAACAGTAGGAAATTCATTCTTCTGATTATGAACTGAAGCAGACAGTCAAGCATCTACAACAGATAAGCATTCGTTCAAGAGGGACGTTAGCACTTATCTGTTTTCTGTGGGAACATATAGTAGTATTTCATCAGAAATATGTGCTGCATTGCTAATGTCATCACACAGGTTTAAATACAGAGAAAAGTTTGAGGAAATTAGAGTACAGATTTGCATTTCAATGTGTGTCCTGAGTGCGAGGGGAAGGTGTATGACAATAAGAGTGTCTCAGTAACAGTGCTCTAGCCAAGGAGAAAATAAAAAGGAATGTAAAAGATTTTTATCTAGAGCTTTTTTTCCTATACAGGTAGGTATTCAGAATATGATTTGTGAAAGGCTTGTGTGAGGCTAAAGCAGGAAGTGCCTGTGATTTCATGTCATCCATGCATCTGCAATTTATAGATGACTGTGGTTTTCATGGGCTTGGAAGTTGAAAAGGTGATTCAACCAGTGCGGTCATCATATGCCGATAAACAGGGCAGATTTTAAATCCAGAAATGCTGACAGAAGGTTTTAAATCCAAAAGTTACAGAACCTAGTTCAATTAGATACATATTTCTAAAAGCATTTAGAGACTTAAATTTATCTGGGCTTATGGAAGCTTTTGTCAGCTGTCAGTGCAATTCACACCAGAACATCTTGAAGGTCTATTGCATGCCAACAAAAATGAACCTCATCAAAGTCTTGTGCCAAGGTTCTGCTTGAACTGTTAAGGTAAAATGGGATCTTGTGCAAATGGGTTAATCAAATTTGCCTGTCAAACATAGGCACTGACCTGATTACAAAAAAAAAAGATAAAGAAATGTAAAAAGGCACAGTACTAGAATAACATAATGATGCTGTTGGCTTAGTCCTTCTAAATACACAAACAAGAGCCTTAAGTTCTGTCACTGCTCACAAAAACAAGCATAGTTACCAGTCAAGGGAAAAAGTCTTCAAAAAATGGACATACTGAGCAACTGAGCTGTTCCCATTTCAAGTAATGCAGTAGGAGACTATGCCATGACAATTATGAGTCATCTCTAGCTCACAGGAGGGTACAAGCCAAGGGCAGTCTCTTGAAGAGAAGAATGTAATCAGGTACCAAAGTGTCTTAGTCTTCACCCACTCCTTCCAACAAAATTTCATCATCAATAGTCTCAACAAGCCCAAGTTGGTCCTACCTAAGCAACTGTGCAGTCAAGATACGGCCAAAGACTAGATGATGGAGCATGCTAGAGTGCATGTCCCCTGCTTATGTGCGCATGTTGGGAGCAACAAAGGTAGAAGCAAGGGGCTAAATGACCTTGAAAGTAAATGCTTAGGGAAAAGAACTAGAAATTAGACTGACTATATAAAGAATGTCAGCAAGGTGTAACTCATTCTGCAACAGCAGAAACATATACCTGTGTGAGACATAGGGTATCTGATAGTGCAGAAATTCACTGCTATTCAGCTGCCTGAACATACAGAGAGGTATCAAGTGGGATTTACAGAAGTGCTGGTGCCTACATTACCTTACAAATCTGCCCTTCAGGGCATAATTCAAAGCCCTTGAAGTCATGGAAGAATTACCACTGGCTTCACTGGGACTCCATTTAGATCAACAATGCACACTCCTTTTCTGGCCTTTGTTGTCTCCATTGTCTGACCTGAATTGTCCCCTTATGGCATTGCAAAAAAAGATGGAAATGTTAGCAGCAGTGCATGAGAAAATGAGTACTGTTCTTTCTCATTTTGAGTGTCTGTTCAACACAAAAACAGATTTAAACCTTTACAGCATGTTTATGTGGAAATTTTCAAAAGATTGGTGAGTCTTTACAAGTTTGTATAAATCAAAACTGAAATATTCCAACTTTTTCAAATAAAAATAAGACTGTATGCCACTTGCAAGAATTGTGATACCTTACTAAATGTGGTAAGTTTGCTGAAAGACTCTCATGTTCCTGCAGTACACCTCATGTCCTTGGAAACTGGCTGCATGAGTTTGACTTGTACATTGCTGCAGAGTACATAAACTCTATCTTTGATAAATCCTTTCCAGAATTTAAAACTGTCTAATGACAAGAATTTAATACCAAAATTTCCTCAAGCAGACTCAAGTACCAAAGCAAATATATTAACTAAAATGGGAACTCCATCAAGCTACCTGCAGAATAAATACAGGAACAATTTCTTTTCAGAGTATGTAATTGGATATCTTAAAATCAGGAAGTGAAAGAAGGATTAAAGGGAAGTCTGAAACTTTTGATGGAATCAAAAACTATGAAACAGGAACCAGGTGCTATGCAATTTTTTATTGTTGGTGAAAGGAGAAGGAAGATAAAGTGAAAACATGAGTATAGTGGCATACAATTAGTCCGCAGTATAAATGAGACAATTCTGAATTTAAAAGATCTTAAATCTGTTCATTAGAGAACAATACTGCAGGCAGGACTGCTCTGCATCAAACTCAACGTCAATACCAAGCTTGCAGCCAACAGGGCAGCACCTGACAGGACAGCTACATGCAGCACCAGCTCTGTTGCAGAGAATGCAGAGTAATCAGCTACAGAAAGGTCAACCTCATGAATGGAGAACTGATTTTTGTGGGAATGTTCCAGCACAGTGTGAGGAAAGCAGAATCTGGCCATAAGTGGGGGAGGGACCCCTCTACAGGAAAGAAGTGTGGCTATGAGTCAGATAGGTTTGTTCTCTTTGGTCTGCCTCCTCAGTTTTAAATATACTGACACCAAGGATTTTCTGTAGCTGTGAAGGCCTTCTGGATGTGCATTAGCAGTAGCCAATCAATCCTTGCTGCACATGCGAAGTGGTGCAGGGCAATCAGTCAAGAGCATGCAGATAGCATAAATTTGACACCCGTGTAACAGCTTCAACATTGCTGGGAAACATCAGATGTCCTGCAAAAAAAAAAAACAACCCTCCGTAGTTTGTTAGCTCACAAGCATTAAGTCTTACCCACACAAATATTACAGATGACATACACTCTGTATTTCTTTGCAACGTCCACAACATGATCATCTTCATTGCCAGAGGGAGGATCAATATTTACATTACAGATGTTTGCCAGCTGTGGGTTGTAAGCAAACTTAGCAGCTAGCCTTGTCTGCCCATGTGAGACATGAAGTTCACAGCTTGTGTAGGATTCATTTGTTAAAATACAAATGTCACAAATTTCATGTTTTCACAGAACTATAAAATCACTGATTTTGGAAAAGACCTCAAATATCATTCTAGCCCAACCATCAGCCCATCATCGCCATGTCCACTAACTGTCCCTCAGTGCCACATCTATAAGTGGCTCTTGAACACCCCCAGGGATGGTGACTCCACCACCTCCTTGGACAGCCTGTGCCACTGCCTGACTACTCTTTTGGAGAAGAAAACTTTTCTTGATATCCAACCTGAATTTCCTCTGGCACAACTTGAGGCTGTTTCCTCTCATCCTTTTGCTGTTACCTGGGAGAAGAGTCCAACTCCCACCTTATCACAATCAGTGCAGTGTGGTCTCCACTGAGCCTCCTCTACTCCAGACTAAAGAATCCCAGTTCCCTGGGCTGCTTCCATAAGAGCTCTGTTCCAAACATCCCTTAGCTTTGTTGCCCCTCTCAGAGTACACTCCAGGGCCTTCATGAATTCCTTTGTAATTGGTGGGGAGAAAAGAGCATTTCCAAAACATAAACCATCTCCTTCTAATGCAAACATTGCAACAAGGTAAGATGACTACAGGTGTTACATTGCATACAGAAAGTCAGTAGGTCTGAAAATGGCAGCACAAAACTTCAATGAAAGGAAAATTTATGACATTTCTGTTTTTAATAGCAATCTATAGTATTGAGGATCACCAATTAAAAATTCTTCAATAATTCTGCCCTCCCTCAGACAGCTGTCACAGTTCCATGGTCACAGTATTTCCACTGACCCTTTCTTACATTTCTCATGGGACAGGCACTGTATTTCTGCCACTCAGACACTCTGCACCCATCTGCTGGCCACAGCTTTGCCCATCTCTCAGGTCCTTCCTTCTGGACACATCAAGACCTGTTTGTCCCCTTTTCCTTTCGATGAAATGAAAGCTCAGCACTTTCTGGCCAGTCATGCTGCTTCTCAGATGTCTTATGGAATATGTTTGGTTAAGTGAATTCTTGTGGATGGTATGAGGGCTTCTCCAAAAGTAACACCTAGTGTTCTATTATGTTGCTCCACAACATCAGAAGCGGATGTTGGTGGTATGGCAGTAGAGGCTGACCCTTTCTACCAGTATTCCATTACATGTTTTTACCATGAGACAAATGGCAGTAGAGGGGCAGTCTGACACAATGGCATCTGACATGGAAGTGGGAATGAAGTAATGGTGTGGCACTGAATCCCTCCAGGTGGAAAAAATGGCACCCAGTGACATCCATCGACAGTTGCTGAACTTTTATGGAGACCACCAGTGATGTGAGCTCAGTGAAGCAGTGGGTGGTGCATTTCAGCAAAGGAGACAGCAACAGTGGGTCACTTCCAATGGTGCAGGTTGTTATGAGCATGGCATGCAGGGTCTTGTACTTCACTAGTGAAAATGCGTGGCTTATGGTCATTACTACGTTGAAAAAGAGTGTTTTCTTGTTGAGAATTTGCTTTATCAGTGTTGATGTGCTCTTTATATCTGTTGTAGTTTCCATGGAAATAAATAGGACGCATTGTACAGTTGCAAGATAGGAATTTTGTCTTTTCTGAAATGAACAAGCGTGATGAAAATTGTTCCCTTTTCATTTAAGAGAACTTCTCTAATTTCCACTGGGAATGTTGATTTGTCTGAGCCTTGGAGCCGCTTACAACTCAAATCTGGATTTAGTGATCTGCAACTCCATTAGTCAACTCAATAGAAATAATATCAATTTTGTTCTGTTTCAGAATCAGAGTATGAAGTAGCTGTGTAAAATTATATAGTAGACATAATTGCATATCTGTCTTTAATCAGTTCTAACTCAAGCAGCTTCATGGATTTAAAGTAGCTAAGTTTTTCCCAGATGGGAATGTGTACTTTGTTGTTATTGAAATACAGTTGAGTTAAGCTCTTTGGCAGATTTTCAAACGCCCTCAGAGAGATATATAAAGGATTATTATAAGAAGAGTTCTAACCTATATAATCCTATATAATTTGTTTCCATTTTGTCATATAATAAAAATATACCTTTCCCTGAAGCTTCATTTCTGAAGGGAAGAACTTCCTAGTTAAAATGTTAATGATGGAGAAATCTCATTCAAGTTTAAATGAGAAATCTTTAATTCAGGAATGTTTTCAATAAATATGCCAAATCTACCACTAAAATATATAATTTGTAATAGCTGCAGTATATTACTTTGAGATTATGCACCTCTTTAAATGCAAAATAACTGGTGTGTTCAATTTGCTAAGAGATGTAAATATCACATTAGGCGAAAGATTAATTCAATGTTGTTGAAAGCCTCACTACAGTATTTGAAGAAAAAAGCAAACAAGCTACACCCTTAAGAAATTTAAACTCATTTATATTAATGAAGAAAATATTTTTCCCCAAATCCAAGATACTTTGGTATTGTTTACAGTGTTGATTATCTGAATAGTACATATGCTCTTTTTATCCATCAGATTATGTTAGTGATGCCTGTGACTTGAGTTTCTCTATCAGCTGAGGGTAATCATTTATACTTATTAAGAAAAATACTATTTCCCCTTGATTGTGGGAATATATGCTTTTTCTTTCAAGAATAGGTCTGCAAGATTATCTAATTCCTTGTATACATGCCTGTCAGTTTTTCTAATGAAGTTTGGACCAAGATCAAGGACATTTACTTTTTTTAAGGGTAAACTGAGGTTTGCATATGCTTTGTTTAGCTCTTTGAAAATGCCCTTTAAGCACATAATTACTTCAATCATAAGTTCATATGCTGCAATGATATCAGGGTTAACAAGTGCTGAGAAAGCTTTAGATAATGGTATTACATTTGCTTCTGGTAATTGAAAGATAAATCCTCTTCCACAAGAGTGCATGAACTCTGTATGAGCTCTTCGAAGGCTATCACCCATGTGTAGTAATCATCCACAGAAGGGAGATTTTTACAGCTCTGCCAATTCTGAAAGCAGATGGCAGGTATTTGGGGAAATGTAATGCTAGTCAAAATTGAAATCTTTGTTAAGGATGCATTTGAATGGGCTTCCAGAGCTGTGTTCACATGGAAAAGTAGCGCTGAGGCATTAAGACTTAGATCAAGGTGCTGCAGAGAAATGGATAAGTAGCATGGCACACGTGTCAGGTTACAGTGAGACAGTGTCCGCAATGTCATGTTGGTGAGAGTGAGAAAGTCCCATATAGTGTGGGAAGAGATTTTCCAGAGCGGATACCATAGCATCAGTTTTCTTCCCCTCCTATCTCCTTCGATTTTGTTGTGCTCAGAAACAGTTGTTATGCACACAGTACTGCTTGTCACAAACCTCAACCATGTAACAGTAGGTGGAGGACCTCCAGGTAGTGTGTTCAGTACTGATTGAATTTCAAATATCATTTCTTTAACTTTTTTTAAGTTGATAAAATTGCCTTTGATGTACAAAAAGGCTGGAGACCTTTCTTAGTGTATTCTTTAGGCTTAACGTATCAATTCCAGTCCAATGTAAAAATCTGAAAGTTCTAAAAGTTGTCAAAAAACACTTGAGTAATCCCTTGAATGCTCTTAAACTGTCATGATTTTAGGATACTTTATTCCTTTAGTTCTCCCAAGCCTCGCTTAAACTCAAAGCTCAGTGATGTTGCTTTTCACATACTAAAATAAGGAATTACAGTAGTGCAGACGAAGCAGTGTGCCCATCATCTGTATTAAAATGGCCAGCGTGAATATAGATTGTATTCTGGTCATTGACTTGTGGGCAAATACCTCCACATGAATAAAATATGTAGGGAACATTTGCATGAGCTACTGCAAGTCTTCAAAGACTCTCCAGTAAGATAAGAAGTAGCCTGAAGGAAAAGCTTTTATGATGAAAAATGTTATGAAGTCACTATATTAGTGTAACTACTATACTAGTTGCTACATAATTCAAAAAATGTTTACATTTACAACAGATGCAGAAATAAGCTTGAAATATAGTTCAATTTGCTAGGATGGCTCTTCCTACCCTACACTGCAAGGCACAACAACACAAATTTAAAATAACCTAAAGCATTTTCATGATGAACAGAAAAAAAATTAAATATGGATTCATGCTGAAGGAGATAACTATTTATTTGTAGAAATGACAAATAAATGGTGGTAACAAGTTTAGTGTTTTTTCTGCAATGAACTGAACAAGAAATGCCTGTGGACTTGCAACGTAAGCATGTCTCTTCTTTATCCATTTAAAATGATATGAAGTTGCTTCCTGGATATACTTTGATTTTGTGTAATATGCAACATGCAATGTGCAAAATCATATGCAATATGATTTTATTTAATGCATAGGCATATGGGTGCATATGAAATATCTCAAAGCAAATACTGCCATGAGAAATTTTATCATCTAAAATGAGGATAAAGCATAATGCAGAACATAGGCATCTGAGATTAATGTTGAGTCCATTTGTTTGCTCTGCAGAAAGAGTTCCCATGAAACAAGAAGTGGAAATAAGATAAAGGAGAAGGTCAATAAAAAGTATAAAGAAAAATAAGAAGTAGAATCAATAAGTTCACTTGCTGGGTGGGCAGGCACATGATGATCAGCAGGCAGGGGAATGTGGGGATTTATTGAGAACTAACCATCTCTAGAACAGAAATACATCAGATTCAAATTCTGATCATGCTGCAGTTTGTATTGTTTCATTCTGCCACCATACAATTTCTATTCAGCTATAGTGGAAGAAATTTTCCAGACCTGTGCATGAAAAATAACTACTATATTGCT